TTAAGCATTGTGCGAGTTGACACCTTTGACGCGTTATTAATCCACTTATTTAATATATATATTGCTGCTTGGCTATCGGTACATATATTCAAGTTGCAACTAAAAGGAACTGCTTCAATTGCTGCCAATATTGCGACTCCTTCTGCCGTTGTTGATACTTTTTGAGTATAAACACCTGTATTAAATTCTACATCTCCTAAGCTTGAAGTCCATGCTGCACCATTGCAAATTTGATTTGTTCCAGAATGTTTTACTGAACCGTCTGTAAATAATCTAATGAATTGTTCATTTTTGAGCTTGTTTTTGCATTCGTTCCATTGATCCAGCTGGTCTGGTGGAATAATGACAGAGCTTTTATTTGCTGTGAGCAAGTTATCAAAGTCTGGTTCCATCTTTGTAAATGTATTAGATTTTTGTTTCCACAAGATAATATCAGATTGTATTTGAGAAATTTTTATATTCCAAGTATAATTTATAATAGTTCGATTTGAGTCAATAATTCTTTTTTCAATAATTTTGAACCATTCTGAAGCTTTGCCTTTGTTTTTTTTTTGAAGTGTAGCCATACGAAATTTGATTAGTTATGTAATTAGTACATATTCATAATTTCCATTCACCCGTCTATATTAATTACAAAAAGATGCGGCTAATCACTATGTTGGTTGCCATGACTACATAATAATAGAAATCACTTCACTACCTAATTTAGTACCTATTTGTTCTGCTATAGTATGTGAATCTGCTAAGAATTTGGTAATTTGATCAGTGTTGCATTGTATAGGTGTATGAATTTTTGTGATTCCACAAATACATAATGTAGGATCTGAGTTTGTTGTATTCAGAATTTTGGTTTTTTGTTTCAAAGTAGACTGATTTTGTTTTTGATTATTGTTATTACTGTTTTTTCCAGTTGGAAGCATTTTGTTAGATTTGGATATTTTGTTGAATAGTTTGTTTGTTGTTGTAATATTTTGCGAGTGTTCCATTCTATTTGCTTGTTGCATCTGGGTTTCCATAGGGAATTATAGACTTTTAAGATGAGCGCTTTGCCTGTTTTAACTGTGATTTTTTTGAGATCTTGTTTGATAAGACCATTAAAATTGGTATTATCTGTGAGAAAGTTGTGAACAATTCTTTGAATAAGATATTTGAAGGATGTGTCATCAGTTGCACCTGGTATATCGATTGGTGATTTTGTGGTTTTTTGAATTTGATTGAGCCATTCAGTTTTGGTTTCTTTGATAATGTTATCACGTTCCACTGATGTGCCGTAACAATTCCAGAAGTGATTGGTGGTTTCTTCTTCAATAAAGCATGTTTTGCAAAGATCTGATTTATAAAGATCTGGCCAAATTGAGTATAGATAGTGTGCTGTTGGTAGATATTCATGAAAGCTACGTAATGCGAATGTTCTAAGAGCCATTGTTTTGGATGATATATATCCAGATGCTATTTTTCCATCATGATGCCAAATAGAGAATGTGAATTGCCAATCGATATTAATTGAATTTAGGTGTGTTAACTGTTTTTTGATGGTTGGATTATTTTGCCATGATAATTTATGTCTATTTTTTGATTGTTTTTTGATGAATTGTCTGAGGTCACTATTAACTGGTTGATAATTACATATTGCTGTAAACTGAAATTGTATACGTGGAGTGATTTTGTTGAGAACTGGATTATTGTTAAGTGTGAGAGCTTCTTTTGCTAATTGATCAGCCAGTTCATTGAATGTATTATTGTTATGTGCCTTTATCTTTTTGAGTGAAATAGAAAGATTTTTTTCTTTAATTATTTGTATGATGTTGTTCCTGGTTTGCTATAATGTGGTTTTTAATATTTTATGGGTGGAAATGTTTGTTGTTTGTGTGGTCCATTTGCTGATTATTGAAATAGCAGCTTGACTATTTGTGTGTATTTTAATATGGAAGGAATATGGAATTGCTTCAAGTACTAATAGAATAGTCATTCTTTCAGCTATTGTTGAAACTTTTTGTGAAGTAAGTGGAAAGTTGAATGAAAATGAATGCATATGATCGATCCATGCAGCACCACTTTTTTGTTGTGTAGTTCCCATGTTTTGTACTGATCCATTAGTAAAAATTGAGTGCTGTTTGAAATATTTAAGTTCAGATTTAGCTAAATTCCATTTTCCTCTAAAATCATCTGGAATTGTTACTGTGTATTCATCATTAGTCAATATATCATTGAATTCAGTTGTTTCTATTTGATTGGGTGAGGGTTTGGATGTTCAAGTTTTTTGGTATTTATAATGATTATTTTGTGAAGGTTGTTATTGTGTATTGGTGATGTGTCGATCAGGTAGGTTTGTGAATGTTCGTGATTCTAGTATTTTAAACCATGTTGGAATTTTTCCTTGGTTGGTATTTCTGGTGAATTTTGTGTATTCTTTCCATGTGACCAAGATATCATTGCATTTTAAGAGTTGTTCAAGGTAGAGAATATTTTCTGATTGTAAGCTTTTTCTGATGTTTTTGTAGAAATTGTGAGAACTGAGAATGTTTTCGATAGGCCATTTTCCTCCTTCTGGAAGGCTTGGCAACCAATTGTGATTGGGATAATCTTTAATTTGTATATTTCTCTCTGCCATGATGTTGATTATATCTGCAATCAGATTGTAGTCTGGTTTGGTATATTCCTCAGTCAGGTATTCTAGAATGTTGAAAATTGATCATTTTTGATGTTGCAGATTAGCTAAACGGATGATTATTGTGTGAGTTGCTGGGTTGTTGCCACTATTTAGTCTAATAAATAGTTCATTTATTTTGTTTTTCGCTTGTAGTTCATTAATGTCAATGAGATTGTAAATATTAGAATGTCTCAATGCAGCAGATGGGAAGGTTAAAGGGAGATTTGCTTTTTTCCTGATTGTGTGGACTATTTTGCTATTCCATTTTTGAGTTGTAGAGTTATTGATGAATGTTATTAATGTTTTGTATTCAATTGCTGGTCCAATAACGTTATTGAATATATAGATGGCTTGTTTGTCAGTTATTTTTTTCCGCATTAGTTTGTAGCATGTTTGTGATAATTCTTGATTAATCATGTTGATAACAGTTGAAGGTTTGCCATTAGCTCTGAGCCAAACATCTAGATATCTAACGTTTTGTTCTTTTTGGAGGATTTTGATTACGTCTTTGTTGTTGTGAAGTTGTAATAAAGGTGGGTTATGTGGTTGGTTGAAAATGCACACAATTTCTGTTTTATCAATATTAATTTCTATGTCAGTTATTTCGAAGAATTCATTTGCCTTTTTCAGAATGCTTTGGGCACTACTTTCTGAATTTGCTATCCAACATATGTCATCTACAAATGCTAGGTGGTTTATTAAGTATTTTAGTTCCTTTTGGTGATTGTTGTAGATGTTTGGATTGTATTTGTGATTGATTATATAGCCATTGTTTTTGTGAGATTCTTGAATTTCACATAGTAGTGGGTCATAAAATATGCTCCACAATATGGGAGAGAAAGTTTCTCCTTGGTCAAGACCATTACCAACTTTGTATAGTGAACTAGGGCTGAATTCCATTATGATACTACATTGTCTATTATTGTGAATATTATTTAAGAGTTAAATGAATCCTTTGTGCATTTTGATTCATTTTAGTGCCATTTCAAGTGGAGATCAGCCTACTGAAGGGTATGCATTACGCATGTTTTGGAAGACTAACCATAACTCATTATTGAACTCTCTTGCGTGTTCCATTAGATTGTTGATTGTATGTATTGGAATGTATGTGCTAGTATTTTTTAAAACTGAGATATTGTTGTCATGTAGGATATTGTGTTTTAGACATAGTGTTGATATTCAGTCTGAGAGAATTCTGGTTAGGATTTTTCTGGCTGTGTCTATGAGAGTGATTGGTCTGGTGATATCGATATTGCCTTTTCAGGCTTTGGGTTTTGGGATGAGAATTATGGATGCTTCTTTCCATTCTGTTGGAATGTCTTTTTCAAGTAGGTATTTGTTTAGGAGTTTTCTTAGTGTTGTTTTGGTATCATTATCTGAGTGCTTCCAAAATTCTGTGGGGATACCAGAGGGTCCAGGTGCTTTGTTTAGTGGTGCACTTTTTAGTGCATACATGAATTCTTGTTCGTCTATTGGTGACATGACTAATGTGAATATGTTGTCTTTAATGTGTGGAATGGGTTTGTATCAATGTTTCCACGTATCAGAAATAATATTACCAATATTTCTATGTCATGTTCTTTGTTTGGCATGTTCATTGACTATTAATTTGATATCCTCAGGTTCATCATAGTATTCTTCTTTATGGATGACATGATCAAGTGTGATTTTTCCCTTGTTGCGTTCCAGAATGCTTTTTATCATTTTGCCTTTTTCTGTTGCAAAGTTCTGTTATCGTTTGGTAATGGTCTCTATTATTTTTTTAGAATTTTCCATTTGTGTTTGGTGTTTGTGTGAGATTTTGTATGTGTTGTGCCAGTCTTTGACATAATTATACCATTCTTGAAGATTTGAAGGTTGGTTAAAGTCTGGGAAAAGAGTGACGTCCTTAGGGCAGACTTGTTGTCATTTGTTGATAATGTTATTAATTTGGACAATTTCTGGTTGGGTGATTTGGTTGGTTATATTATTAATGAGTTTGATGATATGATGTGTGTATTTTCTTGCCTTGAAAAGGTTGGATTCTTTTTTGGAATAAATTGAGTCGTGATTGATGTGTTTTTTGGTATTTTTTTAGCAGCGATTGTAATTATTATTTTTAATATATTTCAGAGAGCATCTATGTTGAGTCCTGAGATGTGTTTTGTGTCAAGCTTTTGGTGAAGAATTTGATCTGTTTTGCTTTTAAAGTCTGATCAGGTTTTATCCATCATTTTTTTGAGATTGAATATCTGTCTTCTTTTTTTGATATGACGTTTGGTAAAAGAATAATTTTGAATGAAGGAGATGTTAATTGAAATACTGATCAATAGATGATCTGAGAATGAATCTTCAGGGAGGTCAATTGATATGTATTTAATTGCATACATTGCAGTAGTTGTATCTGTAAATATGTAGTCAAGTATGCGTTGTAAATTGTGTGAGTACCATGTTGGTTAATGATTTTAGCATTTGGGTGTGTGTCTATAAGTCCGTATGCTAGTATATTGTGTATTATTGAAAATTTGTTTGTGTTGTTTTGATGCAATGTGTAGTTCTCATTGAAGTCACCCATTATGATAGTTTGTTCATTTTTGATGATAATATTTGAGATAAATTTGTTGATTGATTTTGTTATAGAAGAGGATTCTGAGGTTTTAGAAGCAGGTGCATATATACCTATAAGGTTGATGGTAATTTTTCCTTTGAATTTAAGTGTGATGTGTATGATTCTGCCTTCAATTTTATTTATTTCTTGAATGT